ATATATAAAAATGGACTTATGAATGTTTGTTATTAAGCCAAACATTAAGACAGAAGTTGTTTTGTGGGAGCATTTCAGAGCATAACTTAAAAGAAATTAACAAGATTTTTTTCCGTGTAGGTTATTTATCTTAGTTATGTACATTCTGCGTGTGAATTAAAGTAAATATAGTGAAAAAATGCCATTTTTATTACGTTGAAAATATTGCAATACATATCGCAATACAGTTCAAAATATCGCAATATATCGCAATACGAAATCTCCGGCTAATACCCAGCCCTAGTGGTTGGGGTGCAACCTTCAGGCGTTGTATTTTTTTCCTATCAATTATTTAACGCTTCTTTCAAAAAAGATTTCCCTTAATTTTATTTCAATTGGAAATTATATTGTAATGTGGAAAATCTCCCAATTCAAAATAGAATACAAGTATTTTAACACCCCCCCCCCCCCCCCACGGTTACTTGCCTGTGTGACAATGATTTAAGATGCTAAATTTTAATGAAATATACTGGTTTACACATATAGTATCAATAAGTAATAGCTACTCTAAGTGGACTTGACCTAAAAAACGTGTTTTTTTAATTCTCATTAAAAAAAAATTAAGGAATTTAATTTGTTCTGGACTAAAAAATAGCGATAAAAATGCCAAGATTACGTATATATCAAGGTTTGATGCAACACAATCAATTCAAAGTTGGACGTTAAAATTTTACTTTCAGAATATACTAAAATGGTTAATGTATAACTTCTTATGTGTCACCTATTCACGGGTTGGTACGTTGTTTCATGCAATATTTTTTATCAAGTCAAGGGTCCCGCATGACATTCTAACTTACAGATGTACAATTTAAACATTATTTGAATAAACAAGTTCATGCACAGTTACATACTGTAAATTAAATAATCAGTTGAATTCATACTTAGTGTCAATGAGAACAAGACAATATATGTTTATATGGAGTTGAATTGGCCTCACCGCTGAAAATCCAAACAATATACACGCTGTAATCGGTAGAAATTTCCTTAAATTATTTATTCTCAGCAATGAGCATGTGATTGTAAGCAAAAAAATCTCATTATGCATAATGTGCACATTCGGTATTCTTCGGCTTATTCGCTATACACTCCATTCAAAATGGTACACGAGCCATCCGAGGAGCTCCGAGTGATATATGTACGCCATACCCCCCCCCCCCCCCAAAAAAAAAATCATATATAAATTAAAATTAGAAATTATTGAAGATTAAAGGATATTATTCACAAAACGTACTAGTTAAAATTAATATTAATTCCAACTTTTCTTTCTTATAGTCAGGATATTATAGGGTGGGTAATTCTTAAAATAAAATTGCCAAAATTTCTAAATTTATTCCTGATTAAAAAAAAAAAAATTATACCCAGTAAACAGACAGGTATAGAAAGCAACTTCATTTGTAGGAAAGGGCTTTATAAAAGATTTTTTTAAGAGATCAAAGAGGGAGTCCTCAGTCAAAATTATAAAGAGTTCACAAAAATAAGAGTTCGTGAATGTAAGCATTGCATGATTTTACAATCGCAGTGTGAATTGAGAACGGGGGTGCACAGCTTCCCAGATATCAGATTATCTTGATACTCTGTAAAAATCATCTATCACGGAACTATCGAAGTTTGAAAAAAAATCTACAACACTTCTTCTGATGATGGGGATTTCAAGATAATGATCCGGAACTTCATTCATTGATCAAATACATGTATATGAGCGATGTTCTTTTTTTTAGAAGAAGGGGTGGGGTTGGGATATGGTGTATGTACCAGTGTTTTCAAAGTGGTTATGGTCGAACTAAAAAACAGAAACTAATAGTAAAATAAATACATGAAAACGATGATGAACAAGCGAAATCGAAACGAATAATAAATTAATTTTAAAAAATCGGAATTTATCCTTGAAATGCTTCCCTTTTCGTAGTAATACAAACAATCACATTCAAAAACAGGGGGGGGGGGGGGTTAATCAAACCTTTTAATTACAATATTATGTAAGATTACAAACTAAAGATGTGCTCATATTTATAGTCTGGAACTACTGTTTTTGCCTGAAATAATCAGGAAATAAAGCTAATGACCTACATGCGTCTGATTCAATACATGACCTATATTTCGCTCTTAATTTTCGACTTCAACAACATCAGCTTACCTTATGTTACCGTGTTTAGTTTTAATTTATTGCAATTAACTTAGGCAATGAAAACAACGCCACAAATTAGTTTTGAAAATGACCACGGTTTCTTATCTTCACATTTTATTGCGTCAAACAGTTAAATTTTCAAAGCTTTGTTGTATCTAAGGTGACGTGTTAATAGTAGCGAGTAAAGATGGAAGTCCGTATGGCTTTTACCGCTTCATCCTTTATGACATGGCTATACAGACAGTTTCTTAGCTGCTGACTTTATATTTATGTTCTTAATATACATGTAAATTGACAAAATGCTATTGCAACCATGCTAGAATCGAATATTTAATCTCTGATGACAAACTTTGGGCACTGAGTCGCCAAATCTCGGACTTTCTGGAAACAATCTGGAATGCGTTATATATAACCACCCCCCCCCCTAAAAAAATCCAAAAGAAAAAAAACAAAACATTGAAATAAATAATAGGGACCACTTGCTTATCTGTAGAGACTGGAGCTCAGTCGGAAAGCTAAAAGAATTGTTTTCAGAGTCTACGCACGTACATAATTAACAGCTCATGAATAAATTAAACCATTCATAAACAATCAAAACTTAAATTAGTTAATATAATTTTTTTTGAAAAAATTACCAGTAAATCTATAAATTGACGATATTAAACATTTTTTTCAAGACAGTTCTAGGCGTGTCTATTTTCTAAAAAATATGTATCATGCAAATAATTTTTTGTTTTGCTTTATCGTATATTTTTTTTTATCGGCAAACGCGCAGACTAGACGTCATGTCTTTGAAGCGCTATTGTGACGTAATTACGTTTATGTCACGAAGGTTCCTTTTCGCTTGACGCAACTCTTATATATTTCTGTCTTAGTCCATGCTATCGGACTGACTCTGCATCACGTAATAATCCCACATTTTCTCCGTAAACAGCATTCTCTTTTGTAAAGTGGGGTAATATATAGTGGGGTTTTTTTTGTTTGTTTATTGTTTTTTTTTTTAAATTTAGCGATTATTCTTGGGATTTTACGCCAGCGACTTTTTCGTCTAGTAAGGTTAGAAATTAAGGTTAGTGGACAATACAAAAATATATATACTCCTGATATATGTAATCTATTTAATATTTAAGAATCTATGATATAAATTGAAATATTTGTTGCTGATCAAAAAACCGATAAATTATTTAAATTTCCTTCTAATATATATAACAATTTTTCTTGCACTGTTATTTAATCAAATGACCCATTTGATATAATTATATTGAATTATTTCTTGATTGTAAAAACATAATAAAGGGAAGTAATCAAATGTTGAAGCTGTCTTTTGATTGGTTAGTTTGGATCTTGAATCTCGAAACTCGAATTTTGAATCTCGAATTTCGAATTTTGAATCTCGAATTTCGAATCTCGTATTTGGAAACTCGAATCTCGAATGAGCCTTCTGGGCTTTCGTAATAAATGACCAATGGCATACGTTCATATAGCATTTAGAGAAGTCACTCTTAGCAGCAATGAAATTTTTGTATCATATTTATTTCATCATTGGACGAAATTGTTCACATTTTAGAATATGTAATAGTGGATAACACAAGTTCCAGGAAAGTGTTGCTACTTAGGGTGAGCTTATGAATAGTATCAGGTAGATTTGATATCAGTAATGGTCACTAAACAGCTGTATCTGGTTGTCCATACTACCATTACTGATCGTTACTTACCAAGGTCACATAGAAGGGTTAAGCAAACCTAAGATGATCTTTGTTTTCTTTAAAAAAAAATTAATAATTATTTCATAAAGTGACAAGAAATTAAACAGTTTGCTCTCACATGTTTGAATTTGTAAACAGTAATTCACAATGTCAATTTCTTGAAATGTACAGTGTAATTATATATGAAAACCTTTTTAAAATTTTCATAAATCAAATTGATTCTTAGAAGAGGGATTTCTAAATTTAATGACATTTGGGCCTGTTTGAATAAATTTTACTACCTTCGAAATTAAGTTTAAATAATCAAAGTATACATATTAGTATTATAATTATAATAATTATTTAAACATATTCTATAAAAAAATGTCCCTTGACTTTAAAAATATCGATTTTGATAAGTTAAAGGTCCCTTTCAAAATTTTGAAAATCGGCAATCTTTATTTCTATTACATGAGTAATGTGTGTTGTGGACTTCATATTACTAAAAAAAAATAAAACAAAATAAAACCTAATCAAAGAAGTAAATAAAATAAGATTTAAAAATAAAATCAAACATATATATAAAATAGAGAAAACAATTAAATATAAATAAAATAAAATAAATTAAATTAATCAAAAAATAAAGATTGATATGGTTTTTTAACTGGGGGTATTTTTGTGGAACGAACTATGAAATGAATTAAAAAACATTTTCGTGCAAACTCACCAGTCATGTATACACGATGAGATTCAAACTATTGTAAATTGTAGTCACAGTGATACTCTGTACTGAAAATAGGCTGGTAATGAAAATACAACATATGTGGCAGCTCTAAATTCGACTGTTTAGGCTTATGCATGGCTTTTTTTAGTCATTTTTACTCTTCTTTTTTTTCTAAATCAGATAAAGTGAATATATTTGTGTGCTAGTCACACGGACACCTATCACGTAGAAACACTACAAGAAGCATGCACCAGTTAGCTCGAGAAATTCAATAAATATACGTGTTTCATATAATCAAAGACATGGAACTACATTCACTCTGCTCTCAATGATCAAATCATGCTGACAAAAAACAAGAATATAAAAATTAACCAATTGTATATATTTTGTCACACATCAAATATGTGATGTTAACAAAGTGGGTAAATTTATAATGCACCTTGTGAAGTGGAAAAATAAGAAAGACTCGGGAGAAAATGGACTGATTTCAAAAAAGTTTATCACAGATTTCTTTGAAAGCTAATTATGCTTTGCATCAACCGAATTGCAAGTCCTCTGGTTTCAGCACTTATTTAAGCACATGGCAATCTGGTTTGCTACAAGTATATCTTAAATAGAAAAAAGAGGGCCTCTCATTTGAACATTAAATGTTACTTCGGCTTATTCATCGAGTTCCTGTAGAAGTTATTGAAGTTTGTAACTATAACAGGAACCGGAAGCGCAATGGCTAATAATCCACACAACACTGTGAGGCTTCCGACTAGCTTTCCGAAAACACCTTTCGGATAAACATCCCCGTATCCTACAGTCGTCATGGAAACGACTGCCCACCAAAATGCATCTGGAATACTTGTGAAAAAGGTATGCTTTTCTGGCAATTCGGCATAATAAATAGCACCACCAAAAATCACGATGCCTATTGCTAGAAACAAAACAAACATACTAAGTTCCTGCATACTCGTCTGTAGTGTCTTTCCTAGAATTTTGAGGCCTTCCGAATGTTTGCTTAATTTAAAAATACGTACAACACGAAACACCCTTAGAACGGAGAGAATTCCGCCTTGGTTTCCTTGTTCACATTTCCAAGTGACTAAGAAAACAGTCATGAAAATGAAATATGGGGTTATTGAGGCCAAATCAATCCAGTTGATCATACTTTTCATAAATTTGAGCTTGGAGGGACAGAATATAAACCTCGCAATAAGTTCTATTACAAACCACGCAATACAGACGGATTCGATAATAAAAAGTGGATGGACAAAATTTGGCATCAATCTTGAAATGGCTTCACCGTTTTCAGAAATGATAGTCGTGTTCACACACTGTGTACCATTGAATACTGGAAGAGTTTCCACGCAAAACGTTGCTACTGAAGTTACAATAAGAACTACCGAAAACACAGCTAAAACGCGAGCTGGGATCGAGGATTCTGGGTATTCTAATAGTTCCCAAATTCGCCTTTGAAACGTTCCTTCAGGCATTTCTGGGATTTCATCAGTTTCCATGAAAAACCCTTCTTTCTTTTTATAGGAATTTATCACATTCTTTCCAAGTTCAAAGAATTGAAGCTCGCTAAGAAAGATATCACTTGGCACTTCAATTGGTCTCTCCAGTCTTCCTCCACTTTGATAGAAATATAAAATGGCAGGAAAACTTGGCCGATGGCGATCAAAAAAATATTCTTGTGTGCGAGGATCCCAAAACTTGTCTCTTTTTTCTTTATCTCCGAGGAGTGTATGTGGCAAACGATTTAAAGTCCGCATCTGGGTTTCGAACCGCATTCCACTCACGTTAAGAACCACTCGATTACAACCCTCTTTTGCACAGTCGTGGTCCTTTGTCAGTTCATTGCTTTTGACGAATTCCTGAGTAAGGTCCTCGTTTTCGTTAAAATCGACTTCGTCATCAGTAGCCTCGTTATCACTGCTGGGAATTATTTGGGATCCCGACCCGGCGAGTTTATACTTGAACCAGCTGTGCTTAGAGTCGTTAGAATTTGACCGGTGACGATGTCCATACACACCGGGACTCAAATGATGGTTCGGTGGTCTAAGACCTGTTTCGTTGGTAGTATTTCTTGCCACGAAATGCATCTTCAACCAGTTAAAGTACCACACGGCTATAAATTCTTAGCCTCACAAAACCGCGTAATTATTCCCGAGAAATTCATTGATAATTTACGTATAAAATTTGAACTCTAAAGTAGAATCTCCACCTCTGTTATATACTGCTAAAAGTTTAATACACATGAAAAAATATTTAAATGGTCACATTAATCCCTCACTTACATTTAATCCAACGTCACGTGGTAAAATATGAAAGAAGATTAACGTTAGTTTTTAACTGCGTTAAATAACGATTTATTCATGGTATAATCGGTGTAAAAATTTAATCCAAGAACAAAGCAAATGCGGCAGCCCCCCTCATTTTGGTCCTGTACAGATCCTGATAATTTGACCTTTCTTTAAGGTACACACAGGGTATATAACGATACAAGGGACCAACAGACACTCTTTAATTCCTTCACACATAGTAAACATTTAAGTGTTGAATAAAGCAATCCACTACGATACCTTTTGTTCGAATTTTTGGACAACGAATGTGATTGAAAAATCCCATACTCTCCTTGAGTGCAAGATGAATTTAAATCCAGTAAATAAATATGGAACGTAAGTAAAGGGTTATTTGTTAGACTACAGTTTGTCCAATTAAATGTATAGTTCCTAACTAAAGGAAACATATTTAAAGCCCAGTGAAAAGTCCTTTCAAACAGTTTTAAAACTCGACTGTTACTTCGTTTTATGTCGTCTCTCTCAGTGTACAGTCAACGATAGTTCAGTTCAACACGAAACGAAATAAAATCACAGTGTTTTCCCTGACAAATATTTTCTGGATGCTCCTCAATCAATTGAATTTTTCTGTTCTACTTGTACATTGCACCAGAAACGCTTATTCTGCACAGAAATATAGTTCAATTTATTCGTCGTCCATCGTAAAACTGTAAATTTTCAACAGTAAGCCAGCATACATGTCGAATCACCCAAATTCTGCTAATATATTGTTAATGACCCCAAAGAGCCTACATATTGTGGTTCTCAGCAAGAAAACACATAGCTTATCCCCGTTCGTAAGTATACACGCGACTCTGGGCATCCCAAACATGGCCTAACGAGCCGGTATATCGACAACCAATAGACACAATACATGTATATATTCCAAGAGTTTGTGGATTCGTTCAGGTGAAATAACTTGGACATATCTACTTATATTAATAACTAGCGCTGTTTCATTGACGTTTTCTTTTACTGATACTTGTAAGTAATATCACTAACCTAGCAAATATATACATTTTTTTTTAAAATTTTCATAGAATCTGATAACATTGCAATGTGCATCTCGGTACATTTTATTATGTAATTTTCATTCAAAACTAGAGGTACTGTGAGCACTGATTTCACCACCCCCCCCAATGTGAATATAATGACAAAGTCCATGTTCTGCTATTTGAGACCAAAAATAAGTGTCGGCTCAAAAAGTGAAATACGAGGTGCACAATGACAGTATATTAAAAAAGAATATGTGAATGTATCATTATATCTTATTCAGTGGTATAGAAGAAGTTAGGGATAATGAGAGATGGGTACCCTTCAATATAATAGAAAGAATGGTAGTGTTCATGTTTTATTAAGGGAAACCAGTAATATGTATCGGATCAAAAAGTTAGGAGGCCAAATGGCACTATGTAAAAAAGATTCTGTGAAAGTCTCATTAAAATTCATTCAGAGGTATTCGAGGACTTGTGGGTAAGAGATGGATACCCAAAGCGGAACACAAGAAGCGAAGGAAAGCTAGACAGACGGACAACCAATCACTATATACCCCTCTGCTTTTCAAGCGGGGGATATAATGATTACAAAATGTATGGACACGCGACTTATATTGCTTTTATTATTCCTGTCAAAGGAAAGAATGTTACTTGATGTGTGGTCATCATAAATATGATGATATCAGCTCAGTCATAAATCGATAAAAACGGCCTCTGCATGATTTAACTTTTATTAAATGAATAAAAGTGAATCCAAAAACCTAATTTATCTTTATTTTCGCACAGAAGCGACAGTTTCATAAATCATAAATCATATTAGCCCTTTAAATCACAAATTAATCTAATACGACCAACAACAGTTCATTGCTAAAAGTAATTTTGATCGATTGAAGGGATCATAAAAGGCTGTTATTCAGTTACAGAATAACATTTCGCACCGTTAATTCCTAGTCAAATCAGACTAATACAACCATACATAACACAAACAACTCAATCAAATTAGATACTTAAATGTTAAAAAGATATTAAAACTTTTTTTTTTCAATTTCAGCGCCCATTCGATCAAAATAAAAAAAATATATGTTTAAGTTTCGAATTAAAAAAAAAAACTTTTAACTTTTTTGTACGTTCTGTAAAGTATTAAAATGTTACCCCCCAATTTTTATAATAAATTTAATTTTCATTTAAATAACCAATAAATGATGACATTTTTTCTAGTAAGTATAATCAACCAATCAAACAATCAAACAATCAATCAAAAATTCATTCATTCATTCATTCGATCGATCGATCAATCAATTTATCAATCAATCAATCAAAAATTTTCAGTAAAATAATTATAATGAGATAAGTAAACTATTTTCGACTTTAATTTTGAATATGGAAAAAAAAGTTTTCTCATAAACTTTTAGAACCAATTAAAAAATGACCACATCAGTAGGTTGCCATTTCTTGACTGGTAAAATATATTTAATCTACATATTGACATGTGCTTTTTATGATTCCGTACACAAATGCATGTTACTGTCGATTCACACCAAACCCACTTGGGATCGCGGTTACTGGTTCTTATATAACAAATGCTCCAGTGTATCTGGTCTCAGTCTGTCTAACGAGCACCGACCTCACAGAAAATATGCAATAAAACAACAAGTATCGCATTAATGAGCCACACGACACGCTAATTATGATCGTGAGGGTCACGGGCTGTCTGGGAGATTGCTATTACTGGATCTACTGAGTACCTATAAGATATATTATGGTTATTTGGGGGTCAAAGTGTGGGTATCATGTCTTAGACTAATGAATTTTGACTGTGTCAGCAGACATGATTATTACGTAGCACACATCAATTGACGAAAACATAATATTGATTAAATTGATAATAAAGACGATTTGTTTACGTGAAAAACAAAACTTTTCATAACACAAAAACGTTTTTCTTTAAAAATTTTTAACAATACAATTCGTGCCTCTTAAAAAAAATTCCAAGGTACGAAAATGAACCCATATTTAAAATTTTAATGTGGAATACTTTCTCGGGATATACAATCGAATCGATAAAAGCTAAATGTCATGAATTAAATACATAAAAACGTGCCCGGTGTGGTGTCAATTTCTCTCCAGTTTTCTGTAATTATTGTATAGATTATGTCAATGAAATATATGGAGTATTAAACAGTTTTCATGCATCAAACAATACAAATTTTAAAGCAGAGCAAACATGGACCTCTAAAACACCAGAGGTGGGATCAGATGTCATGGAGGAGTGAGCCTCCCCTACCGACCGGTCATATTCGCCTTGTGCTTCTTGTCATGATCGGGAAATAACGGAAAAATCCGTCAACGATTCGGTGTGCAAATAATGGCCTAACAACTAGCATAAAAAACATCATTCAGCATTAGACTTGCTGATAGATTGTATTTTCTGAAAAGGTCACATATATAGGATCGACCGTAAAACTAACGAAATGATGGCTCTAAACGAGACTGCTGATATGTCTGTGAATCATCTTGTTTGTCAGTAACTTACCTCTTTTAAGAAACTGTTTATACATAGGGATTGCTTAGCTTATTGAATCAATTAAGAGATATAAACCCACATAGTGGTAATTAGGCGTTATTGCTGCACAGGTACGGGAAGTTAAAGTCATTACATTCAACATAAAATTGAGTGTTAGATTAACGTCACTTTTTAAAGTAAAATATCCCAATTTGTAACAAATCTGTCCGACTCTGTGGTATCTTTTATTTTAAGCTTTCTAAAATATATTTGACGTGTGAATGGAAATATTATTTGTTAATTGATAATACGTCATCGATATTACCAAAATAAATGTCTTGTTGTAGTCCACAGTAAGTGTTTTCTTCTTATCATGCACGTATCAGATTTTGAATAGATTTTGAAGTTTTGTAGTGCACATGATGACATTGCAAACATTATTTATCTTTGGGTCAAATGCTGACTAACGTTTTTTATACTTATTGTTAGTCCATAAGTTACTAATTGTTATAACCACATTTTTTCCCGTTTACCCGATTATGACAAGAAACACGTGCGGGATGTGACCATACCCAAGGGATGCTATTTCCTCCGTGTCACCTGATCCCGCCTCTGATAATCTGGTTAGGAGATGTCTGTGTTTATCTGCTTCTGATTTGTATTGTTTAAGTAAATGTAATAGGACGAAAACTGTCCATTCTGTGTAAAGAAGGTACTTTTCTAGGACCGTTTAAACATTAACGTTAAAACATTTGCTCTGCTCCTGTTTTGTATTGATTAATAGACTTTTTAGCTTGAATACTGACCGTTATTCTTATATATTTCATTACACTTTTGTTTCGAAATGTACACTCTTAGAACTGTTTCTCATCTATCGTAAGCGTGAATTGCATACCACAGACGGCCTCAGATTAAGGTTGTTTACAGTCGAAAAAAAAACTTAAGTTTGTTGTAATTGTTAACTTATATAGTAGAGAGTGTTTGGTAAGTTCGTCACAGCTAGACGAGACGTCTCGTGTATTTTTAAATAACCGTTATCTTCATATATTTCATTACACTTTTGTTTTAACTGTTTCTTAAAGAATATTTATCCACAATTCATGAAATTCCAACACAATTTTCTAGTGAATATCAATGCTGAAAGCATATATGTACTTCTGATGCACAAAAAAATTCATATATGATGAGCAATCCAGTACTAAAATAGAAGTTATTCTGAAGTGACAGTTTAGATTTGGAGCTTAGGATTGTCAAGAAATTACCTG